TATAAATTAGCTATTATGAATTGTGAATAAATCATACACACAAGGTCAATTATTGAAAACTATAAATATAGAGCAAAGTAAAAACAGAAAAGCTCTTAGATGACAGGAAGTAAGAAAGTAAGTTTTGCTCAAAGGGGAAGAGAATCAAAAGATACAGGGCTGGGGAGCGAGGGAAGGAAAAGAGGGTGAGAAAAGAATTAAGATGTGGGGCTGGGGATTTAGCTCAGTGGCATAAGCGCCTGCCTTGCAAGCAGGCAGTCGTGAGTTCAATCCCTGGTACCGATAAAAATGAAAAAGACAAAAAAAAAAAAAGAATTAAGATGTGTTATACACATGTATTAACTCCACACAAGGAATGTACATAAGAACAAACCAAACCCCAAATTAGGCAAAAGAATAATCAAAATCAGAGCATAAATAAACAAAATAGAGACTAAAAACCACAAAAATGTACTAATTTAAAAAATAAGTTAAAAATTAAAAATGTTATTTGAGATTGATTCTAAAAATAATAATATTAATATCTTAAAGATTGGTAATGCAAGAAGATGTGAAATGAAACATCAAAAATTCAAAACGTGGAGATAAATAGCATGCAAGTGTTAAGTTCTCTTACTGATATGTCTCTCTTTCTTTTTGGTTTGCTGCCTATCTCTCTCTCCTCTCTCCCTCTCTCTCCCTCTCCCTCTCTCTCTCCCTCTCTCTCCCTCTCTCTCCCTCTCTCTCTCCCTCTCCCTCTCCCTCTCTCTCTCCCTCTCTCTCCCTCTCTCTCCCTCTCTCTCTCTCCCTCTCTCTCCCTCTCTCTCCCTCTCTCTCCCTCTCTCTCTCTCCCTCTCTCTCTCCCTCTCTCTCCCTCTCTCTCCCTCTCTCTCTCCCTCTCTCCCTCTCTCTCCCTCTCTCTCCCTCTCTCCCTCTCTCTCCCTCTCTCCCTCTCTCTCCCTCTCTCCCTCTCTCTCCCTCTCTCTCCCTCTCTCTCTCCCTCTCTCTGTTTCCCTCTTTCTCCCTCTCTCTCTCCCTCTCTCTCCCCCCTCTCTCTCTTTGGTTTTTGTTTTTGGTACCTGAGATTGAATTCACAACTTCACACTTTCCAGGCAGGTGCTTAAGCCACTGAGCTAAATCCCCAGCTGCTGTTGCTTTTCTCCACTATCAAATTACTATCATTTCAAATTAGCTTGTTATAGTCGAAAGATGCTTTTGTAAGCCTCGTAATACTCATAAAGCAAACATTTGTATAATATATAAATCAAAAATAATAAGCAAGAGATAAAAACACACTAGGCTAAATCACAACCATGAAATAAAACTATACAGATGTACAGGGAAAAAAGAACTATAACAAAACTAAAAAATTAAGCTAGAAAATGTAATGAGACTCTATTTATCAATTAGGAGGGGTTTTTTTTGTGTGTGTGGTACTGGGGATCAAACTAATGACCTTGCACTTGCCCGGAAGGCGCTTATGCCGCTGAGTAAATTCACAGCCCCTCAATTAAGATTTTGAATTAAAATGGACTAAATTATCCAATTATAGAAACACAGTGACCAAATGAAAAAATTCCCAAGACTCACTTCATATACTAAGTTTAAATACACTGGGAATAAAGAAATATAATAAGATATTCCATGCAAATGGAACCCAAAAGACAGCAAAAGTACTTAAACTTACATCAAATAAAAGAAACTTTAAATAAAAAGAGCAAAAGGAAATAAGCCATATCATTACAAAAGAGCAATGAGTTCACTTCAGAAAGAAGTAACAGTTCTAAATTCTACATACATATATAAGCGCACAATATCAGAGAACCAAAATACACAAAGTAAATATAAATAAACTTGAATAGATTGATTCTAATACAATAATAGAGGCTGTAATATCTCATTTTTAGATATTGAAGGATCATTCAGACAGAACATCAAGGAAACATCACAGTTAAATTGCCAGACCAAATGGAACTAACAGAGTTATGGAGCATTCCATCCTAAAGCTTTTGATTAGAAATTCTTCTCATCAGCATGCTGAACGTTGTTCAGGTTAAGTCATATGTTAGGCCATAAAACAAGTCTCAAAACTTTTTTAAAAACTTGAAGTTATATCTGGTATCATTTCTGACCATAATGAAAAAACATAGTAGAGATCAATAACAGGAAAAGCCATGAAATTATAAAACAATATTGAAGTTAACCTATTTTTGAAGAGGTGATTGATGAATAAATCAAGAAGAAAAATAGAAATTGTCTAAAACAAATAAAAATGGAACCACAAAATGCCACAAGTTAAAAGACACAATAAAAGGAATACTAAAAAGGAATTTTACAGCAACAAAACACATCAAAAAAGTAGGAAGTGGGAATTAGGCATATAGATCACCATCTGAACAATAGTCTTGCATGTACAAAAAAAGCAGACATATTTCAAATAAAAAGCCTATTTCTGCATCCCCAAAAAACTGAAAACATAAGAATAAACCAAACCCCAAATTAGGCAGAAGAATAATCAAAATCTGAGCATCAATAAACAAAATAGAGACTAAAAACCACAAAAGATAAACAAAATGTGGATATATGTCTTGAAATGGTAACAAAAAACCTTTAAATAGGTTGACCTGGAAAAAATAGAGAAGACCCAAATAAATAAAATCAAGATGCAAATAATTAAGATGGCTATGTAGGTAGCAGCACCAAAGGAGGGGCACTGAACTGTGCACTAGAGAAAAAAGCAAGAACATTATGGCAAGGGCAGTAGAGAAATCCAGATACAGCAAAGTAATCAGAAGAAATTCACTGGAATGAATTCTAGCATCAGGAGTGTTTAAGAAGAGAAACCAGACTACTCTTTCATTGCAGAATAACTTACACTCAGGGTCTAGTGCACACGCCATCTTGGGAGAGGACTGGAATTCCTGAGAGCACTTTGGCAGTAACTTGGCTAGTGAAATGGTCTTCAATAACTCTACTCTCCCCCTTGGGAAGGAGAACACTGTGAAAAAGATGTTTACAAACCAGGACTTCAGGGAAACTGAAAGTCAAAGAGAGATGTATGAGAAGACAACAGTGGGCACTTGGAAATTATTTTCATCTTGCTTTTTTCTTTTTCTCTTTTACTTATCCCTTTATGTTCCCTCTCTTCTTTCCACCACTTGTCCTAAAACATAGAACTAATCAATGGCTTAACTTAAATGTTACATTTCAATGTCATATCAGGGTAACTGTTATTAAAATTTTGACCAGAGGATCCAAACATAAACAAACATATTAACAGGTTCTCATAGCTTCCCCCAATCTCTATACTTCTTTCCCTCTGCATCCCTACTCCCACAAACACTCTTTTAACAGTGCTCACCTCTAGTCTTTTACCCCAACAGTCTAATATTCTATTTAATTTTCACCTATTAGTAAGTCTCCTCTTTATCTTCCTTTCTACTGACCTATCACATTTCTATTTCTCTTCCCACCTTACTTCCTTATCCCAGCATCATGGTTAGAAGTGTAGTACAATCTGTAAGGGGCATTGATGAAAGATGAATTTGTCAAAATAAGTTTTAATGGATATGATTGATGTATGGTTGAATTATCTCCTTGCAACATAAAAACCAGATGCAATACAGCTAAACCAAATATGTCAAAGTAGCTGATAATATCAAAGTGAAAATAAAGCCAAAATCACATTACTGAAAAACAAACACTAGCTAGAGAGTTCTGTAACAGTGACAGAGTCTTTCCACTCTAGTTGATCTTCAACTTTCAACACACACACACACACACACACACACACACACACACACTAGAATGAATAAAAAGGTAAAAATCTGTCCTCAAAGTATACTTCCAAAGCAGATTTACAGAAAAGAACTTAAAATTATCAGAAATGATATAAGAAGAAACAAAGAAATTTGATGAGTTCAAAGGTGATATAACTAAACAGATAATGGATTTAATAAGAAAATTGAACAGTGAATTTAAAGAAGATTCAAATAAAAAAATTAGCCACACTAACCAAAGCTGTTGATGGGAATATAAACTAGTAAAACCACTGTTGAGATCAGTATGCAGTTTCTTCATAAAATTAAAACTAGAAATTCAGTTCAACCCAGTATTCCCCATACAGGTATCTTCTTGCAAGAGTTAAAGATATAGAGCTCTAACGGATATAATAGCAAGTGTGTTTAGGGGTGTTAAATAGCTGACTATATTAATGTTTTTGGATCATTGAACACAGCTGTTTGCAGTCTCTCTGTTTGAATGTCCACTTTGTATTCTTTGATACTGTGATTTGAGCAACTATTTCCAAGATGATAATATGTAATCTATTAACAGGTGATTTCTTACTGTTATGTTTTTTTTGTAGTTCTGTATTATGTGTACCCTTACACTGCTTTGTTTTGTTTTGTTTTGTGTTTTTCTCTTTTTCCTCTTAAATAAAATTTAAAAAAAGAAAAAAAGAGTTAAAGATATAATATTGCAATAATAGATACTTACTCATGTTTACAGTAGCACAACTCATATTAGCTAAATCTTGGAAGCAGCCTGTATGTTCATCAATGAATGCATAAAGAAAATGGACATATATACACAATGGAGAATCATTTGTAGGAAAATGGATATAACTTGAGACCATAATATCGATTAAATAAATCAGACACACCATCTTAAATATTACATGGTTTCCCTTATATGACAAGTGCAAAGTATAAACAATGTAAAGAGTAAATAAAAGTAGATAATATGAAATACTGAGAAGGAAATAATTTAAAAAACAAAATTAGATATGCAAAATGAGGATCAAATTGATGCAACAGAAATGTAAAGTATAATTTTGAATTGTATGAAAAATTACATGCCAACACACTGGAAAACTTAAACTGAATGCAAACATTTGAGGATATATTTAATCTACCAAAAGTAAACCTTGAGGATATAGGACATTAAAATAAAACAGTAACAATGAGGTTAAATCAATATAAAAATTCTCAAAGAAAAATTCAGAAACTGATTATATTACTACTGTGTTCTACAAGGATGTTAAGAGGAAATAATACCCATTCTTGTTAAGTTATTTCAAAAGATAGAGGTAATAATTTTTCTGAACACATTCAGAAAAATTATTGTGCAGCATTAATTTGATTCCAAAACTATTTAAGGAAAAAAAAAAAAACCCTTACTACAGGCCAATATTTTCAAAGCATATAGATTAAAAAAAACTCAAGAAAACACTAACCAATTCAATTAGTACATTAAATCATTCATCATGATCCGGTGGGATTGATCCAAAGGATTCAAGGGTAGTTTGATACTTGCAAACCAATAATGGAGTGATAAAACACATCAGCAGAATGAAAGATATAAATCATATGAATTCTCTCCATAGATGTAGAGATGGTTGTTAATGAAATTTAAAATCCATTCATTACAAAATTGTTCAACAAATTAGGTTTATGAGTAAGGTACTGTAAGGTTCCTTAAACATCTATTTCAAAGAAAGACACATTATAGTACTACTGTTACTAACCAGTTGTCTTGTTGTAAAGTGCTGCGTTGCTTACATTGTTCTGATCTGCTTTGTTCTATCCTCTTCTGTTTTATTTTCTTTAAAACAAAAAAAGAAAAATACATTATCTGTAATAAACCAACAGTTAATACTATACTGAATGAAACAAAGTTGAAAGCTTTGTAAGATGTGTATCAAGACAAGGATGCTGACTTTCACTATTTTTATTAAATATAGAGCTGGAAACTTTTGCTATAGCAATCAGGGAGGAGAAAGAAATAAATGAAATTGAAAAGATGAAATCAAGTTGTTTTCAGATGATATGATTTACACATAGAAAATTCCCAGAACTCACTCAAAAGACCATTAGATCTAAACAAGAGTACTCAGCAAACAGTAATATTGCTATATGCCAAGACCAAATACTCTGAATTTTTATCAAGAAATAATCCAGTTTCTAATAGGTGCAAAAAATAAAATGTATACAAATAAATTTAACCGAAGAGTTTTGTGAAACGTCCCTACAACAAAACTTATAAAACATTGTTAAATGAAATTGAGGAAACAATAGTGGAAGGACATAGCTTGTTCATGAGTTGGAAGAATTAATAGTTTCATAGTATCTAAATTGCTCAAAACATTCTAAAGATTGAATGTGGTCTCTATCAAAATACTGATAACATTCTTTTTTTTTTTTTTTTTTGTACCGGGATCAAATTTATGACCGCGAGCTTGGCAAGCAGGTGCTTATGCTGCTGTGCTAAATCCCTAGCCCCTCCTTTTCATATTTTTTGATACCAAGTCTCTGTTGATCAGTCTGCACTTGAAGTCACTATGTAGCCCAGGCTGACTTTGAAATCGCAATGATCCTCATCCCCAGGGGTCTGGCTGCTTCTGAGCCAATACGCAGAGGCTGCGCCACACAGCCAGGGCTATCACATCCAGGCGCAGGTGTGCGTCCCGCTTATGGGGCGGGGCTGCCAGTTTCTAGGGGTGGAGCTGCCAGTTTCTAGGGGTGGAGCTGTGCGACACTTTCCCACACCCGCCACCGGGTCCTTCCGGATGCAGAAAACCGTGGTCTGAGAGGGGGCGGGGTGGCGCAGTGGAAGTAAGGGGGAGATGCTGGGATAAGTCAGGGTAGTGCTCAGCGCTCAAGGTAGGAGAGGCTTCTGCAGGTCTGAGGGCCCTAGGGCCGCAGCGGCTCTCATGGAGTAAAGCCTCCGGCGTGGAAGAGGGAGAAGTGTTTAAAAAGGAAAGGAGGAGACAAGTGTACCCCCAGGTTGCGGGGAGCCGGGGAGTGTGGAAAGCTCATTCTCAGACCCAGACCCACGTACCTCCTCCATTCCTTCTTTCCATATCCCATTTCATCCTTGTTCTCCATTTTGTTACCTGCAGAGGTCGGAGACAGATCTGCAGGAAAAATGCTTGGCTTTGGGGAAGGGAAGGGCACGAACTGGGAAACTTGGCCTCTGAATTTTCAGTGTCATAGGGCCTCTGTCCTCAGTGCTGATCTGTCTACTAAGGATTCAATCCCTGTCTCTTTGGATTCCATTACTCTTCCTAAGAGTAATGGAATCCAAACAGGAACTAGTGACAAAAAGTCTCAATGTGGAAAACGCCCAACAGGAAAACACAGAAAAAGAGGAAATCCCTTGGCCTTGCCTTTGGAAGCTAGTGAATACTGTGTGCCTAGAGGAAATCGTAAGAAGTTCAGAGATAGGCAGCCCAACCTGTATTATAGATGGAACCTGATGCATGGGTTTGGAGAGCCACAGGCAAGGGGAGGGGGAGAAAATGTAGAAAGGTTTAGAGAGGAGGTGAGACAACTCATGGAAAAGCTGAGGGAAATGCAGTTGAGTCATACCTCACAGGCAATTAGTAACGACATCCCTCACCATGACCATCACAGTGACTTTTGCCATAGGTCCTGAATCTTGATGTTTACCCTAAAGTTAATAAAGAGGCATCTGATTCCTAAACTTACATGTTTGTGATGTACTATTGTAAACCTTTTGATGTCACTAGTTTGTATGTGCCTCCTATTACCAGCTTCTAGTAGGATGTTGTATTTTTGATCCAGACTGTATCACTTTTTTTAGTAGAATAAACCTATTGCATGGAAAAAATACTCATTGTATATTGTGACATTAATAAAGTAGTTTAAAAAAACATTCTTTATATTCTTTTTCCTTAAAATTTACGACAAAACTTTTTTAATGCACTTATTTTCATATATATATATATATTTCTATACTTAACACATACTGAATAAAAGAACTTGACCATTTATAAAAGCAATATGAGCACTTACTAAACACTTGTAATGATATCAACTTTGGCTCACTCCCTGGAATCTGTTATTTAGAAATATAATAGGAGACACATTTTTAAAATAACTTTATAAATGTATCAGTTAATAGGAGATAGTCACGTCCTAAGGGTACTCTATGAACTATATGATGTAGTAATTTTTAAACTTTCTTCAAATTTTATTCCCTCTGACATATAACGTATTCCTTTCAGTTTTTAGAGGTCATTTCTAAAGTGATACCTTCCCTGTACTCAAGTTCAGTGGGCTAAGAGTTAGGCACTTCTGTTCCTCTCCTGCTGCGATCCATTCCTACCCTCTCCCCTGGATATTGTTCTGTGTTCTAAATCTTCCTTTCTACCCTGGCTCCCCACCACCACAGATGTTCATAAATTTTCAAGATAAGAAACTTCTACTGAGTTTTCTAAGTACCATGTACAGTATGAGTGCCCACAATTTACTGCATATTGCAGGATTGTAACATGTAGTAAAAATGTACAACAGTACAATTGTACTATTTTTGTACAATAGTACAAAAGCCAGAAGAAATGGAAAGTGCACAATTTTAAGGTTCTTATTCTATACATCAATATTCAAGGTAAGCCTGATACATTAAAGATGCTACAACTCCTAAAACAATCATGAAAATAGTTAAAGCTATTAAGATAATATATGACATAAAATAGATTTTTCAACTCAATCCAAGAAAGATATTGTGGAAAAAAAATGAACCAAAACACATGCTAGAAAATATCTCTATCGCTGAGCTACATTCCTAGATTTATGCAAAAATTCTTTAAAAAAGTTTATTAAAATCAAATCCAGAAATATATGAAAGATACAATACATCAGGTTATGGGCCAGAGTGTGACTTAACAGTAAAGCACTTGCAGAGAATGTACAAGGCTCTGGGTTCAATTCTTGGTACTGCCAATAAAATTCCAGAAGAAAAAAAAAAGTAGGAAAATAATATTTGAAGAAATGATGACTGAAAACTTCTCAAATTTGACAGACTACATGATTCGACACATCATAGAAACTCAGGGAACTTGAACAATAGAAAACACAAAGAGATACACACTTGAATATTATAATCAAACTGCTAAAAGCCAAAGACACAGAATTTGTTGGGGTAGTCCCATTTTATTCCTAGCCTGTTGATTTTTTTTTCCTTCATTCTGTGAATGTGTTCTATTGTTTGATTTTTTAACATGTTGAATAATTCTTGTAGCCAGGAATAAAACCTGCATGGTGATGATATATACTTCTTTTAGTATGTAGCTTGATTTGATTTACTAGTATGCTGTTGACTATTTTTGTATCAATATTCATATTGGGCTGCCATAACCAATATCATAATTTGAGGAGTTCTAAAGATCAAAAATAGATTTTCTTACAGTTCTGGAGACTGGATATACCAAATCAAGGTACAAACAGAATTGTCTGATGAGTGTTCTGCTCTGAGGTCGTAGATGACTGCCTTCTTTCTGTGTACACTTATAACTTCTTTTGTGTACAGTGTATCCAGTGGGCAGGAAGATTGAGAAATAGGCAAAAGTATGTAGATATATTTTCTTACAAAGACATTAATCCCATAAAATCAGCCAATCTTATAAATTCAGGGCCCATGTTCATGAACTCATTCAACCTTAATTACTTCCTTACTTCACATACAGTCATGCTGAGAGTTAGGCTTGCAATATGTTAATTTGGAGAGAACACAAACTTTCAGTTCTGCCACCTGCAATAATCAAGGTAGTGTGGTATTGGCAGAAAGATAGACATATAGCACAGTGAAATACAACCAAGAGCACAAAATAAACCTTATATATACGGCAAAATGATTTTGACAAAGGTTTTAAGTCCATTCAGTGGGCAAAGAATATAGTCTTTTTAACAAACTGTGCAAAGAAGATTGGATATCCACATGCAAAAGAAATGAAATAGAAGTTTTGCTTTACATCACATACAAAAAATTATCTCAAAATATATTAGACCTATATACCACAGCGAAAAGTATGGAACACTTGAAAATATATAGAGAAAGCTTTATAACATTAGATTTGGCAATGATCTCTCAGATATGCCACCCACATCATAGAGCATAAAAGAAAAAATGGAAAACTTTACTTCACCAAAATCAACAATTTTTGTATGAAAAATCCTATTAACCATGTAAAGACAATCCACAGAGTAGAAGAAAAATATTTACACTAATAAAAATATTTACAATCAAATAGATAAGGGACTAAGTACTAAAATATATGAAAAACTCCTACAATTCAACAACAAATTTAAAAAAACCCCAATTTTAAAATAGACAAATGATTTGAATGGACATTTTTCCAAAGAAGATGCATAAATACTCAATAAGCATATGAAAAGAAGCTCAAAATCAGTAGACGTCCCTTAATATCTACTATTATAATTATTATTAAAAGCTGACAAAGCAAAACAGAAAATTACAAATGTTTGCAAAGATGTGGAGATAATTAAACCCTTGTACCTAGATGATGAGTATGAAATAATAAAGCTACTGTGGAAAATAGTATAGCAATTTCTCAATCTGCCAATTCCAATTCCACATGATACTCAAAATAATTAAAAGCAAGAACCACAACAGATACTATATACTCAAGTTTACAGCATCATTATTCACATTAGCCAAAATGTGGAAACAACTCAAATGTTTATCAACAAATGGATAAACACAATATTCTATACACAGACAACAGCAATTTATTCAGTCTTAAAATGGAGTAAAAGTCTGGCACATCATACATCTTGAGTGTACCTTGAAGTCTTTGTACTAAAGCCAGATAGAAAAACACAACTATTGTGTGATTTCACTTAGATAAAATCTGTTGAGTAGTTCAAATCCTAGAGACAGAATAGTATTTGATAAGCATTCTAAATATGATGATGTTGGTAGTTACAGTTTAATGGATACAAAGCTTCATTATAGGAAGATGAAAAAATTTCTGAATCATGATGATAGTGATAGTTGAATTGTACACTTCAAATGGTTAAAATGTTAAATTTTATGTTATGTATTGTCTTAGTTACTTTGCTCATGGCTGAGACAAAATACCCAGCACTCAAATTTAAAGGAAGAAAGATTTATTTGGTTTACAGTTAATAGATGTTTCAGTCCATAGTTGGCTGACTCCAGAGCATGGTAGTGGGCAATCACAGAGGAGAAACAGTCCATGGCAAAGTAAGCCAGACAAAAGGTAGCAAGCAGCAAGCAAGTGACAAGTGGTGACCTTCTTTTGGATATTCTATCCAGGCTACTCACCCTTAGGGCAGGTAACATTCACACCCAGGGTGGAGTGGCCTAAATCCTATCATCCCATGAATCAATCCCAGTATCACATCCTTAATCCCAGAAGCACACACCCTAGGTCCAGTCACTTTTGAAAAGCCCCACCTGTGAGTATATGAGGCTTTGGAGGTACATCTAGATACAAACCTTAACACTGCATGTTGGATTTGAAACATCACCCAAAATACTGATGTGTGTTGAAGGTATTTGAATCATGAGGGCACTATCCTCATAAGTGGATTGATCCACTGACAAATCCATAGTTGAATGTGCTTTTGCATGGTCCCTGGTCAGAAAATGTACTTCACTGGGAACATGATTTGATCTTCCTCCAGTTTTTCTTTCTCTGCTTCTTGGTTACTCTTATGTGAGGAATTTTCCTCTACAGAAAGCCTTTCCTCGAGATGCCATCTCTGCCTTGGAGATATTTACAATTACAGAGCCAAAATAAACCTCTTCTCTAGAGTGTGGATATCAGACATTGTGTCTCAGCAATAAAGAAAATGACAAAGACAATAATTCATCATAATTAAAAAATTTTTTTTGGTCTTTTTCGTTTTTATCGGTACCCGGGATTGAACTCATGACTGCCTCCTTGGAAGGCAGGTGCTTATGCCGCTGAGCTAAATCCCCAGCCCCCATAATTAAAAATATTTTAAAATTAAGCACCCAACACATTGTCTTCACATTGTTCAAGTATCAGCCTCAAAAAATCCAAGTACCACAAAAGCATGACTCAAATAAACCTGAGTATAATCTTGTAAAAGATGTCCTAGTTCCACTTCCAGATGACATTGCCTCAGTCCTGAAGTTCATTATTAGAGATGAAATAATCTCAAATTTTTCCAGTCCAAAACCTTGTCATTAGAGATAACTTGACTCCTTAGACAAATCTGACCCCAAATACTGAGACCTTCACCTTGGTTATACCTATGTCCTGCCTTCCCAAAAATGATGATAAGTTGGACATAGGACATTTATTGCTTTTCTTTCTTTGTTATTAGGCGTTTTTTCAACACTGGGAATTGAACCCATGTCTCTGTGCATTCTAGGCAAGAACTCTATATCTGAGATATTTAGCACTGTATTTTATTTTGAGTCAAGGTCTAACTTTCTGGGACTAACCTTGAACTTGTAGTCCTCCTGCCTCAGTCTCTTGAGAAGCTGATACATTAGGCACAGGCAACCACACCTGGCTAATATTAGACATTCTACTGTTTCCTGAGCTCTTTGTTTACTTAACTTATGGTATTTGTATTCATACAATTCTATATTTGTAACCCTAAAAGGAAATCTGGCAGAATTTATTATTATTGGTGTCATTATAAAAATTAGTGATGACTTGCTTTTTACTCAGGAAGTAACTACCTGTTAGACAATTCATCAGTTGCCTGGGAAGGGGTTTTCTATTCCCCTGCAATTTTTACTACTCTCTACTTCCAAATGTCTACCTTTACTTTCTGCCCAGTATCTGCAATCATAACCACAACTATACCTTTATAAATGCCATGAACTTTTACATGAGCTAAGTTATTAGCTTATACCCTCTACTAAGGCAATTATTAAACTTTTAACCTCTACCCAATAAATCTATCAAAATACTATTATCATAAAATATATGGAATTCTATTTACAACATACTTGATAACTTCACCAAGGATACTGTTAAAGATCTTGAAAGTTTTACATATCTGTTCTTAATATTGCCACATAAAGAAATAGGCTATAGTTAGCCTACAAGGATTCCTAATTTTCATTTTTTAGTTCTTATAATAAAACATTTTCTCTGCTATTGTAACAACTTATGTCCAAACATTTGGAAGTCTTCTCTGCTCTTTGTGTCTGTCAAGTACTCAAAATAATTGAGCTCAAAATGGATGTGAAAGCATCAATGGGACAACTGCAATATTTATTTTATATTGATTGGGTCTTGATGCAATTTTGAGACTCTAGGGAGAGGGCTGTCAGTTCTCTTTCTTGGATATTTGCTTTAACTCCATATTCTACCTACTTCCCTTATTAAATGTTCACAGTGTATGACATAGACCACACTTGGAGGCTCAGAAATTAGTCAATGCACAGATATCTAATTAAATCTAGCTAACCCCACCCCCACTTTGCCATACATACACAAATCTTTATAACACGATTTATTGTTACTCACATGCAAGCCTTTGTGAGGTCCTATCTGGTAGTTGTTAGTTTGGAACTACAAGTAACAGAATTCTGACTTTCCTCTTTCAACAACAGAATGATACAAATTAAGAAATGGACAGAATATTAGAAAAGATATTTCTTCAATGAAGACGTACAAATATACAGAAATCACACTGAAAGTTGCTCAATATCATTAGTAACTAGAGAAGTACAAATCAAAAGCGATCTCTCAAACAAGAGGATGATAAATATAAAAAAATTTGGAAGTTAACCATTATTTGCAAGACTATTTAAAACTATAACCATTATATACTGTTGGTAGGAAGCTTAAATATTGCTGCTACTGTGGAATACTTTGGTGAGTCACTGAAAATTTAAATATATCAGTTTTATAATCAGGAAAAAAAAAAAACATGCACCATCACAAAAATTTATATATGAAGCTGGGCATAGTGGTACATTCTTATAATCCCAGCACTCAGGAGCCATGAGGATCACAAGTTCAAGGCCAATCTGGACTACATAGTAAGTCCAACACTAGTGAGGGCTGCATAATGAGACCCTATCTTAAAAAAAAAAAAAGCAAGAAATCTAACTTATACATGAATATTTTTTTCAGTCCTGGGGAACTGAACCTAGAACCTTACATGTGCTAGGTGAGTGCTCTACCTAAGAGATACAGCTACAGCTCTATATATGAATATTTATGGCAGCAGAAAAAGACAAAAACAAACAAAAAAAAGCAACGTTCAAAAAGTAACAACAACCCAGATACGTATTTATTAACTTTTGAATGAATAAACAAAATGTAGGATGTGTATTCAATTAAATATTATCCAGATATAAAACGAAAGTAAATATATATTACAACAGTAATGCTACAATGTGACTATAATATACACTGAAAATAATATTTAAAGTAAAGGAACTCACACACAAAAATCGTATATTGGATTGTTGTACTTATATGAAATAGAGCAGAGTTTCCAGCCCATGGTCAGCTGCCTACATTGTTTTTAGGCCTGTGGCAAGGCAGAAACATCATAGCAGAAGGGCATGATGGAGCAGAGCTGCTCACGTTATGGCAGCCAGTAAATAGAGGCAGTGAGAGGGACCAAGACCCATATACAGGACCTTTCTTTATCTGCTGCTTTTTATTTCCCTATCTGGACCCCTACTAGAATGGATGGTATGGTTCACATTCAGGGTGACTCTCCCTAACTTTGCTGTTCCACATGCCAAAATTATGTTCAATAGTCTTCATCTTGTATATATTGTATATCTCTGAGCATTTCATGACTGCAAAATATATGCACTGAATAAATTTATATATCCTACCCTTTCACCACACACACACACACACACACACACACACACACACACACACAGAGGAACATAATTTCAGAGGATTCAGAGAGTAATAATGCCTTAACTGAAAGAATAAGGGAGTTCCCTTTAACATGGCTAAGCTTGTATTTGTTTCTCGCTCTCTTCATCTCATTCCTCCTGTCTTTTTCTATCCCTCATAATTTCTCCTTTCTCACTTTGCCAACTTGCTTATATATCAGTTTTTCTTAAATTCATAGGTATGCATCAGAGATGACAAACCTTTTAGAGCTTTCAGTGATACCAATGGCCTGCTACGGCATGCATGCCATAGTTTCACCGCCACTGATACACATTCCCTTCCTACAAAAGCGAATATATACTACTACTTTCTTAATATATGAAACCTTGCATACTATTTTGGGTGATCTATAGACTATGATAGTTGATAACATCTTGTCTAGGTCAATTATTATGGTCAGTATGTCAAAGTTGATTAGGCACTGACTGAGGGGCATCAGCGTGAGTATAGCACGGTAGGCAGAAACAATGTAACTTGGCTAGGCCCCTTCTAGTTGTCTTAGTGGTGAAGATACCAATGTTGAGATACCCATCAGGATGTGTCCCCTATCAAGTGGGAGGTGGCAGATAGAGTCCAGAGAAACTTTCACCCAGGCACTGTGAAAAATTACAGAGCACATAGGTCTATGGATGTACTTTCCACAGCTATCATTTCTCCAGGCTTCATGGAAATCCTCAGCTGCAGGAGTCTAAGAGACTCTCTACTCCTTTCCAAATGCCACCACTTAGTACAAGAAACCGAGAGGTGATCAAAAAGGGGAGAGGGGTCTGAGAGAGATCAAAGGGAAAGAATGAGTCCCAAATGAAATCCTCCTTCATCAAAGGTAGCTCAATAGAAAAAGTAATCCTTTCAGGGTGGAAGCTGTGATCCCTAGCAAGTCCGACCCTACAACCAGTCTGGCCTTGAGTTTTTGTTTCTTCTCCATTCTCTATCCATTTTGGAGCTGAAAGTGGTGGCTCAGGGAGCCTCAGTTGGATGAGTAGAAGACTAGGTGCTGCAGAGGAAGGGACAACAGGTTTGGTCTGGAGACTAGGTCCTTATTAAAAAGGACTGGTTTCTGAAATAGAGAAGATTCAAGAGATAGCATGGACCCAAAAGGTTTTTGAGTTTGGGCTTAATTTGTCTCTTATTGCAGGAAAATATAGTCTTTCTACGTTTATGGACAGAGAGGGAGTGACAGGAGTGCTCTGACCATTTCTACCCTGCTTCCTGCCTCCGTCATCTCCATTTTCAGCAAAGTGCTGGGTTTTGTGTTATCTGGATCCTTTGCAGTGTAGGAGTTGAAATGCTTCCTCCTGCATGTAGCAAAATCTGACTTCTGAGAGGCATGGTCTGGAATTCCATTCATTTTGGTGCAACAAAAGAAGACAGAATTTAGGAGAAAATTCAGACACACAGTAGCACTTTGGAAATAAATGCTCTCTTCTGGTGCCCAGTAAAAGGAAACAGGAGGCTCTTAGATAAGAGCTGTGCGATAAATCAAAGAAAGTGAAGGGAAGGACAAGAGGGTAGTAGGACTTTGACAAATAGTTTGAAAAGAATCTTTGTTCCAGTTGCCAGTCACTGGCTTTCACACTCCTGCATTCACCGAATGCCTCCTGTCTCTCTGCAGGTCCTCCGTTTTGTGGTTGTAAGCATCAGCCAGACAAGAAAAAAAGAGTTAGCTAGTTTCAGTGCAAGTCAGGGGGAGAAGGTAACTGCCACAGGACCATGGGGAGGAGGACTGACTTAAATCAGAGCAGAAGTTGGAGAAGGCACCTTCTGCACCTGTCACCCCTCCTCAAATTCTCCCTATTAAAGACCCTAGGGCAGTGATGAGAAACTTCTTATCACTAAAAGTCCCAAAAGATTTGCCCTCACTGCCTTAGGGGAACATGGTGCTGCAAAGCTGGGAGGATAGAGGAGAGAATGTTTGATGTCCCTTGCAGAAAACAAGCAGCCTTAAAACCTGATAATTTGCCATTTTTCTATTGTCTGCAGACTCATAAGTCTTAAAAAGGGGAGGGTAATGCAGGTTTGTATATTGGAACTACTCAGTTAAAACTGATATAGGCACAGTCAAGGCCACAGGGAAATTTCTGAATCAATCTGCTCCTACACATTTCTTAGCACATCCCTTTAACCACAGGAAGAATCACCTGTAGAGGATTTTATTTTTGTTCTTTTCAAAGTTTACTTGCATAAATATATGTGAAGTTGGAAGGAATAGAAACCATGTAAGTTTGGGACTGTGACTGAAAGGGGGGATAGAGTCAGGAGAACCCTAGGTCAAGAAAGGCAAGTATTGCCAGGAACTTGTTCTACTCCCTAGGCCATTAGTATTCTGTGTCGCCTCTTTTTCTCCTAAAACAGGCAAAAAAAGGAAAATCTCCACATGGAAAAGTTCCACACAGAAAACAAAGGAAAGCCAGAAAATAAGGGAAAGGCAGAAGACAAGATAGAGCGTGAAGATGAAGCAAAGACAAAAGAGGAAGCAAAACTAGACTTAGAGGGGAAGCTAGTACATGATGGGAAGCTGGACGGTGAACGACAGCCAATTGTAGAGGGACAAGTGGAAGATGAGGGCAAGCTACAAATACAGGGTAAGTCCAAGAATGAGACATCAGGTGAAGGCACATCAAAATCCCAAGTACAGCCAAGTTGTGTGTGGCAGCCCACTGGAAAGCACCATGCAGAAGATTATGTGCCCAGGAAAGCAAAAAGAAAAATGGATAGGGGCACTGAAGATTTCTCCAAGAAGAATTTACAGGACAGATATTTGAGTAGTGAGGAAATAATGACACAGTGTACTATAGATGTTTCAAGGGCTCAAGAAGAACTAAGGGCAAAACAGAAGATGCAAAGAGAGCTGCTGGATGTGTACCCTCAAGGAGCCCAAGGAGCATCAGGGCAGTGAGGGGCAAGAGTAGGGGTCAGAAAGACTTAGAACACCTTCCATAGTGTTAATGGTTTTGATTTCAAGTGATAATTTCTCTAATAGAAATATTGCCAACTTTGCTTTCCCAGGCAGGCATTTGCCTGACTACATGCTTTAATCTGATGCTAGCCTTTTGACCAAAGTACAGCATTATATTTACTACTGATTTTTCACCCATGTGTGTGAAAGATATATTCATGGTACATTGTAAAATGACAATAAAATACAGTTTCCAGAACCATATATTTATTTTCTTTAAAAATGTAGCTACATAATATATCTATACAAAATGAATACCATGCAACTGAGTAGGCCAAAGAAAATAGTGATTTTCTCTGGGTTGGAATAGAAGAGATTATTCCTTTTGTCATCTATACTTTTTCCCCATGAAGAACAGATTATTTTTATCAGAAATGAAATAGAATATAAACAAAATAGGAAAGTAGAACATACTAGGCAATCAAAAGAACTTAATTGGGCTTATGAAGGCAGAGGAGAGACTTAAAATTCCTGTAAGAATACAAAATGTTAGGTAAAACTCACATTCCCTCTGAGACTCTGTGGAAGTGGATGGAATCAACCTGATAGTTCTTACAGATTCATTGCTATAAAGGAACAATCATCCCCATCATCTCTGAACTGGGAACAAAATTTACCTCCCAAGCCTATGAAGTAGACCAGATGGTAACACCAAATGCAAGAATTTGATTGAGCTGGCTCCTACTATCTCCTTTACGTTAGCAGTACTGGATCAGAAACTTGAGAATTGAGGGACATCTCATCCGTGCCCAGCAATGGGTCCAAGAAAGTGACAGGTGGGTGCCACCCTCCCCACAGGAAATGCCACATATGCTGAGTATTGCTGAATAGGGCCCTCTAACTGCCTAAGGTCCCCACTGCTGCTGAAGGACTGGAAAGCTGAAGGTAACAAAACCATTTTTTATTACATTACCTTCTGAATCAACGAGAATGTCCTTGTTACAATTTTATATTTACATTAACCCTGACATGAGATATGGAAAAAATGCTTTTCAAAATCATAACTGATGTTTATCAGACTATAATTGCTCCATTTCACTTGGCCCTTTTCAAAACAAAAACAGTATCTTTCTTTGCTACTCCACAGAACATAATAGAAATTTAAAAAATAAATTTATTAGTTGTTCAGTCAACAATGGAAACTTTTCACTACAAAAGGAGCACAGAAGGAAAGGAATTATGACAAATCCATTGCTAAATGATCTTAATATTAAATATTGTCGTGATTTCCAAAGTTTGCTGGCTTATTAACAGACTACTTGTGTCAAAATCCTAGCTATCACATTGAAAATGCAGAATCCTGGTTTCTACATCAGATTCAATTTCTTCTGATTTATCTCCAAAATATATGTGTGTATCTTTCACTTTTAGTTCATTTTAATTTTTACCATAGATATATGCACATTTTTTTGTATTTTGAAGAGGATAAAGCTAAGGAAAATAAAACCAATCAAAACAAACTAGTGTAAATGATACAGAATTTCAAAATAATATAAAATCAATAATAGTTACCGTATTGACTCATGTTGTCTTCAAAATAGCTGTAGACACCTTCAGACATAGTGAAACTCAGACAGGACAGAACAGAGCAGAATAAAACCAATAAAAGCAAAACAATGAATGCAATAAAGGACTTCGAAACAAGACAATAGTTAATCTAAAATGGCTACCATAATACATCTTGCTATCTTTGAAACAGCTGCTCATGCCATCAGATATAACAAAATCCAACAAAATAAAATAGAACAAAACCCTACCCAACAGAATAAAAATGATACGTCTTCAAAATAAGATAATAGGGAATTAAACATGGCTACCACCTTCAGAAGGAGATCCCACATAGATGCCACACTGTGTACCATTATCCTCTGAATAGGTGATCAGACCACTGGCCCTTGACCTGCAAGGTCAGTGAAACAACAGAACAACACAAGCATCAAATTGCATTTCACCTTAATAGCTACCATGCCAGACTGTATTTCTTTGGATCAGCCAGTCACTTACAGATGGGTGAGAGGATTGGCTCTTCTTGTTTGCTCATACGCTAGAAGGGGCCAGGGTCTGGCTGTCCCCCTGCTTTTGGCGACCCACGCATGGTGCTGGTTTTCATGGAGGGCTTGCTTCTTGGTGAGTCCTTGTTCTCTTCACCTGCAGTTCACAAATAGCAGTGACTCATGGGCAAAGGCTTGGGTTTGGCTGTCCTCCCACTGGCGGCAGCCTGTTCATGGCACTGGTTTGCATGAAGGGCTTGCTTCTTGGTGAAGCCTTGTTCTCTCCCCCAACAGTCCACAAATGACATGTACAAAATTTTTAAATACAACAGTGTAAAGAGTTGGTTATTTAAAAAATGCACTCTTCATTGGCACTCAATATTTCCACTCCATAGAAGATACTACCATGTATATATATATGTTTGGCTCTTTCTGGTTATTTATCTCTATATTTCTTTCTTTAGTTTTCTTTTTATTTTAAAAAGCAAAACAGAAAAAAAAAATAGATATTTTCTTGACATTAAAAAGAAACCCTATGCCCCTAGCACCTGGAAAGCTCTCACTTACATTTTCTCTTGTGAACTTTCCCACTTCATACAAGTGGAATTATACAAATGTCTATTTTGTTTCACTTGCCATTATGCTTTCAAGGTTCATCTGTGCTGTAGTAATATGTATCTTTACTAAACATTTCTGTACAAATTTTATGAGCAAACATTTTTTCAATATTTTTGAGTATTTAGCTAGTAGTGGAATTTGTGAATTTCATGATAATTCTATGTTTAAATTTTGAGGAACTGCCAACTGTTTCAAAAGCAAATGTGACATTTGACAATCCAGCAGTCATGTATGAGGTTTCCAATTTCTCCAGATCATTTCCAGTACTTATTATTAACAGTAGTTTTGATCTTAGTGGGTATAATGTAACATCTAATCATGGTTTTGATTTGCAATCCCCTAATGATGTTTAGAGTCTTTTCATATTTTTATTGACTTCTGTATAACTCCCATGGAAAATGTATATTGTTTTATTTATTTTAAAATTGGATTGTTTTATTATTCAGTTTTAAGTGTTCTTTTTTTTAGTATGGACACAATACACTCATTAGAGACATAACTTGCAACTGTTATTTCCTAACATATCAATCCTAGTCATATCTATTGAGCTTCTGATATGATAATGGAGTAATTCTTCCTTACCATGTATGTTAATTAGCTTTCTGTTGCTGTAAAAAAATAGCTGAGATAAAAGGAGAATAGTTTATGTTGGCTTACGGTTTCAGACACTTCAGTCCAAGGTAACTTGGCCCTGCTGCCCTTGGGCCTATGGTGACATAATACATAATGGCAAGAAGAATGTGGTAGAGAAAATGCTTACCTCATGGCAACCAGGAAACAAAGAAAATGTGCCAGGGTCTTCTCTCCTCCAACAAGAAGGTGCCAGTGATCTAACTTTCTCTAACTACCACTAGACCTCATCTTTTAAATGTTCCACCACCTTCAAGTAGTGACATAGACTGCTGACCAAGTCTTAGCACATGGGCCTTTGGGAGACACTTGAATCATAACACCACATAATCTACAGTATCTATTTTCTGCACTCTCCCCAAATTAGCTTTGCCATGTATGATGTGTGTTTTACTAGGCATCACAATGCCTGTTACTGAACTGTGAGGAACATTGTGTATATTTTGGGAGGCATAGACTAAACTTACACTAGAGTACTTAACCATCCCAAAACCTCAGAGTTTATTTCTCAAGCTTTGTGAAGATTGGGGACAGAGAAGCACTGTGTCCTGTGATCTCTCAAGAATTCAGAATATGGTGTTGTTACTGCTACAGAGAAAAAGAGTCCCTCGAGACCACAGAATTGTTTTTTACACTGTATTCTAAGAATGACATATTATTTGAGTATGTATCCTACTTGTTCATATTCTTAGTTTGTTTAGTTCTGACAAGCAATTCTGAGAGCAGTGTTATTATGCTATTGATATAGGTGATTGAACTGAGGTGCAAAGAAGATAACTAATTTATGAAATATTACCTATTGGTAAGGGGAAGAACATAGAGTGAAATCTGGATACATTTGGCTCTCATACAATAACAGTTAATCTGTTTCCTTTTTTTTTAAACATAAGAATTAGAATTTTATCTTTGCTTTACAGTATAATTAATCATGTAGATGTGAGAAAATTGGAACAGTTTATTCATTGATAAAGAACAATGACACAATGAGTTGCTTCTTCCATCATCAAGGCCTTCAAAAAGTATTTTCACACCAATTTATAGCTTGACTGCATTGGTTCCCAAACTGTGAGCTGTGTTTGTAGCAAATGTGAGTGTTAACACAGATGGTGATACTTCTTGACAGTTGTAAGACTGCATGTTCATATAGGCAAGCTTCTCTTGCCAAAGGTCTCTTTAACTTTTGGGCCTGAGCTGCCTTGAAAATCAGGAGCACTGCACCCAGCAGACAGAGAATTAAATTCTCCATAAAAATACTAAAATGGACGCATAAACAACACAGGACCTTTTGGAAATCTGATCAAGGTGGGTTATTTTCTCACCTGAATCTCTACCATAATTGCTAGGAAATAGTTTCTCTAGGCTCTAAGAGAAGGGTTCAACCTTTATACTTTTACCTGAAATAATCTGGAAAAAACATTGAGACTGGCTCTGACAAGGACATTTTTATGCTATAGAGTTTTATTTCAACCCCTACAAAAGTCTCCTACAATACTCTGACAGCATATCTTCTCCTCTTTAGAAAAAGGTAAAAATGGAAAGTTTTGTGACTAATAATGAAGAGATCTCTTGTCATTGGAGACTACTGTATGTACCATTCATTTATGTTGAGTCAATAAACAATGACCATTTTTGCTAAGCAAGAGGATGAAACAAGTTATATTTACTTCTCCCTCATTCCCCTCCCAAACATAAGAAATTCTTTAAGGATAAGGGCCAAAAATTTCTTCAGAATAGTACTCAATTTATTTTATCTTGTAAAACAGTAGGAAAAAAAAGAATATGTGCCAATAAAGAGGGCTTTAAGATGAATACAACATTTAAATTGTAAAATGAGCAGGATAATTCCAATTTTAGCTCTAAATGGAGAGTTAAAAAGAATGCTATGTGTTTACAACAGGAACAAATGGAAAAACAGCAAAAAACTTCCTTAGAAGTTTTAAAACCATCATAGAAATGTTATCACAGGGTAAATACTTATCCCAAAATTTAGAAAGAAAACTTCTGGATGGAGAAATAATCCTTAAATATTTGCCTACATGGAACAGATACTACCAAATATCATATAGGCCAATAAGAAAATTGAGCTATAAGACTGTGGATTTAGCTCAGTGCCATAAGCACCAGCCTTGCAAGCATGAAGTCTTGAGTTCAATCCCCAGTACAAAAAGAAAAGAAAATTGAGCTATAAATTTTTAATGGATTTCTAAAGGCTGAGTGATGGTTATTGTGAAATTAGGTGAAGTCTTTGAGGGCCACAGACATTAGGTGTTTCCTGAGACGAAGAATAAGAATCTGAAAACACTTGCCCCACAGTGTCAGCTAGGAGAGGAAAAGAGCAAGTGCTGCTAAAATTCCAACTGGGTGCATCTCCTCTATCTCCCCTAGTAAAAAAAAAGTCTTAATTAACAGAGAGGACAAAAAAGGAAACAGGAAAACAAAAGCTTATGAAGGTAAGAGAACATTCATGTGTTCTAGCCTCATTGTTACATCTGGAAGAGGAAGGGACATGACTAAATGTGAAGGTCATATCTCTAAAGTTGAGAATCTCTGTGCTTACCTAAGATGAAGGCTCTTCCAGGACACTGGAAAATACCCTTCCTGGTCTCCTGTACCACACTAAAATTGAAAAATAATATATAAGCAGAGGATAGGAAGAGACAAATATTTTTTGAGAAGTAACACAAAGGAAAGATACAAATACAAATGGATAGACTTAAAGCCACATGAGAAGAAAACAACAAATTCAGCACTTCTGATTAAGTAAATCTCCACAATAAAAGTCAGGTAACTTTTGTCTTTTACACATTCAGATTTCAAATAAGATTATGAGAAATAAAAACATACAAGAAAACAATCTATTTTAAACAGACAAAGTAATTATCAGAAGCAGAGTATGATGACAGAGATCATGTAGCTATCAGACACAAAATTTTAAATAATTATGATCAATGTTTCACTTCTAGAATAGCAACATGAGAATTTTTGAGGATCTACTCCTTAGTGAAACTGGCAAAATCTGCCTTAAAAATACAACCATTTAATGTTTTTGGAAGGAGTCCTAAGGACACCTAGTAAACGAAATATTTCTTCAAGAAATTCTAAAAATAATAGCAATGAAAATCTATGGCAGTAGAACCAAGATTCTGTCATTCCCTTCTCCCTACAAGCTCAGCATGATGACATCACTCCAGCAGGGTACAATTAAGAACAGAGGTCTCTCTCTGTCTTCTCTTGTCTTGTCTTCTTTTCTCTTCTCTTTTCCTCTCCTTTCCTCTTCTCTCTTCTCCTCTCCTCTCTTCTCTTCTCTTTTTATCTCACCTCTTCCCCTCTCCCTCACTCCCTCTGCTTTACTCTTGAAAGATCATAGTATCTTTCCAGAAGATACTAGTTACTTCCAGAACTTTCATAGAGACTGTTGAGAACTTTTCATCCCATGGTGAACTATCTGCTACAGATGTTGTATTCTGAGTGAGTGTACCTTACAGGTGGACACTTTCTTCTGCCAGCCCCTAATCATTAGAAACAGGCTTTACCTATAGCAGAGAATACTGAAAATACTACCCACCTATGTCCTGGGAGAGGTAAACTGAGAATACATGAAAGTAATGGCCACATTCAGTCAAGTGCTGAGTTGCAGGAGAATCACTCAGTGAGAATTGCATCTTTGTAACCATTCCTAGTTCCAGAGCCTTGGATCAGACATTTTTCCAAAGGAGAGGCAGGCTTTAAAACATAGACATCCAAATCTCAAATTCTCTTCAGAATTTGTTCCCTACTCAGTGAGAGCAGTTGAAAGCTAGTGGTGCTGTAAAATATGGATGTTGTTGTAAAAGCAACATAGAATTATCAGCAGATTTATTAGGGATGCAAGCTAAATGTTATGCCAAATAGCTTAGCAGAGAAAATATAGGGGATTAAACAGCTAAACTGAGTCCTCCTGAAGTCAAAGAAAATCTCAAACAGCAACCTTAAAATTTACCTCTAAAAAAGAGTACTGTTATAATTTCAAAAATCTGCAAACCTTCCAAGAATTCTATGTCTAAGTATGTTGTGGAAAACAATAAAGTGATAAAACTACTATTAGTGGAGCTTAATAAACAGGTATTTTGAGATAGCCAAACGGTCAAAAATAAGATCTCAAAAACACAAATTCACTATGGACATACCCAAGAGGAGTACCCTTTGGGGAGCAAAGTAAGAGATTTTACACAGCAGGGATGAGCAAATGACCATTATTAAAGTGATCCAATCAAAATCAAAACAAGTAAGCATATAATAATAACAGGCCTCATAATAAATAAATAGTATTCATTGCTAAAATACATTATCTAATATTTTCTGTATCACATAAAATGCAAAGAAACAGGATTGTATAGCCTATATTTGGGGAAATGAGCAGACAACAGAAGCTGTGTGTGAAAGTATTTAACTTAACAAAGTCTTCAAAGTAGCAATCATAATTTATCCTAAGAATTATTTAAACCCTGCAATTAATGAATTAAAGCTTGGCATGATTACATTGTTACATCAAATAGAAAAATACCATTATAAAGAGGCAGATGTTAAGGAAAAAAACCAAATGGAAATTCTACAAAGTATAAAACTGACATGAAACATTAGATAGAACTCAACAGTGATTGGTGTTGGAAACCACTATAAAGCAGCTCTGAGCAGGATTTAAAATTAACTAATTGGCTTTCTATGTTTATCTGTGAGTCTATCCTAGGCCTCGGCCTGTTGCTTGGTGGATGGGAGCTGATTCATAGTAAGTGAACCTCTCCGGCTGAGGCCTGTAGTGGCCCATGAGGCCAGAGATAGATACCTCAAAGGGCAAGATAGGGCTACAGCTGAGGATACCTTGGCTCCAACACTAATTAAGTAAATAGAGACTGCAGCTGAAGGAATCTCACTCCTGCAGTCTCACTTCTACCATTAGTGTCATCCTGGAGATAAGATGGTTCTCATAAATTGGCATAATTTACTATTTGAAGAAGTCTTTAAAATGATTCCCAAGGTCCTGCTCATTTCCCTGAGCTTTCCTCAGTTTCCTTGCCCTTTGTTTGGGACCTAATAAATATGGGTGGTCTAGAGAAGTCTTTGTCTTAGCCCCCAGAATCTTGAACTCAACTAAAGGGTTTTAATTCTCCTGGAGCCCTAAAATCATACCACCTGCCTTATTTTATTTAAGCCTTAACTGTACACTCATTTGTGAGATTGAGAATCTAGGTCCAGACCCAATAGATTGGAGCGTTCACAAAGTAAAAGATGTAAATTGTTAGAATAAGAGCTTTTATACAATCTGAAGAATAGAAAAGTAAAGAAAAATAATTAGAATGTCAGAGAAATTTGGAACATCATTAATTACACATATATGAACCTAATACAAAAAGAAGAGAGAGAAAAAAGCATAAAGATAGTCAAAGTTGTAATGTGTGAAAGCTTTTCAAATTTGATTTAAAGATTCATATATATATATATATATATATATATATATATATATATATCCTAATGGACTTCAAGAAAGATAAATGCAAAGAAATTCATGGGCAGACACATAGTAGTAAAAAAAGATGAAAAACAAAGACATGGAGAAAACACTGAAGGCACCAAGAAAGTACTTATCACTTACATGAGTAAGATTAATAGCTAACTTATCAAAAAAGCAACAAACGCCAGTAAAAAGGAGAATGAAATATTCAAAGTATCAAAGATAAACTGTAAATAAAGAACCTATATTTACTAAAGTTGTTTTAAAAATGAAACAAAAATAAGCACATTCTCAAACAAAAGTTGAAATAATGTTTTAATAGCGTTTTCATATATAAGAAATAACAATAGAAGTTTTTCAGACTAAAAAAAAATTAAGTATTGGACTTGGGTCAAAATGGCGGCTTGCTAGGGGATCAAGCGAAGAGTCTCTCCGGAGAATTCATACTAGAAGCTAAAAAATGATGACATGGAGAGGGCCAGACAAATTGATAGCGATTCTTATTAACCAAGACAGTACAGCTGGAGGATTTAAAGTTGTGCTGATACCGTGAACGCTGATAACGGGAGGCTGCAAATCCCGCGCCTTTAAATCAACAAACTGACCTGTGGACCCAGCAGGAAAAGCTGAGTTGCTTTTGGGGACTGCGGGAAACTGAGACCCAGGCCGGGACTCCAAGTAGCAGCCAGGACTGCACCGTTGCACCAGAGGGGAAGTACAAAGCTCTGGCGTTTCAAATCTAAACGGTGCACAGATATCTGACCATTCCGCGCTGTGCCGGGAGCACACGCTGTGCACCGTTCCGCGCTGTGCAGGGAGTGCGGGAAAGGTGGGCAGCTTGGTGTGCGGTGGTCCCGGAATGAGGACCTGCACCGGACTCTGGTGAGTACTGGGAACCCCGCGGCTGCTGGGGTTGGCCAGAGAACAGCTGGCCCGCCACCATGGGGAAATCAATAACACAGAGTCTGGTGCAGACATTTTAGCCTGGTGGCAGAAACTGCAGTGTGGTGACATCACCAGGTCCCCCTGTAGGGAGGGCTGGTGGAAGACATCTTGAATCCTGGCAGAGCCTGATTACTTGCTGGCTTCAGCTCCACACAGAGAACTTAGTGGGAGACATCTTAGTTTTGGGCAGATCTGCTATTCTGGTGCTCCTGTCACAGAGAGGTTTGGAAGAGAACAGCTGGGATTTGGGCAGAACCCTGAGCCATAGTGACATTACTCAGCTGCTTCTGGTACAAAGAGAACTGGCAGGAGCTACTGGGGCTAAACCAAGCCTCTGCTTGGGGCCCAATAAGCAGATACAAAATAGTCACAACTCAGTGACAACCAGAAAGTACAGCCTAATTTATGAATTAACTGGCACAGAGGCTAGAGACTAGCCTGTACCGCCCCTGCATCCCAGCCTACCCCAGATAACAGTAAATTGGGGAGGACAGCAAAAACTCAAGCCAGCACGCTCCTGAAAGGCCCTAAGCAATTCGGAGAGGGCCAGAGAACTCCAGGACAGTCTGAAAGAAACCAGAAACATGACAAGAGATAAAAAAAAAAATCTCCAGCTGCCCAACAGGAGAAAATAAGCCCAGGAGAACTAAACACTGAAGAGAACAAGCACAGTAACCATCCACTACTCGACACAGCATCAGCCGAAATTAAAAAGTACCTACATGATCTCATAGAGGAATTTAAAGCTGTACTCCTGATCCAAGTGAGGCAAGATATAAAGAGATTAATTAAAGAAATGACAAGCCCCGCCCAAGAGAACACAGATGGAAGAACTGAGGAAATCAGAAAAGAAAGAGAAACTTCTGAAGAAGAATTTAAACATAACTTAGAATACATGAAACAGATCCAAAGAGAATATCAGGAAACTAAAAACTCCATTGAACATTGGCAAAATGCCTTGACAGAAACTAAAGACAGCCTTCTGAAACTTGAAGAGAGATTTAGGGCATATGAATGTGAAAGAAAAAGCCTCTTAAAAATAACAAGGAACCAGAAAGAAGCAATTCTAAAACTGGAAGATGACAAAAAGATACATAACCTAAGAATAAAGAATGTGAGTGAGGAAGCAGGAACATCCAAAAATGAAATACAAAAAATATTCACAGATATATTAAAGCAAAAT